GCTTTGTTCAGATATTGAAATTAGCACCAGCATGCGTTTGCTATAAGATTTTACACTTTCCATTTTCAATTTCAATAAATTTTATTGTCAAAGGCCAAATGGATTGGGCAACAGACATAGCCTCTTTAAGCCCTCATCAAACATAGTAACAAACAGTGGTACAAGCATAGACATAGACATTAGAACACATACAAACACATATAAACAAGTTGGTATTATAAATTAATAATCAAATTAGGGGAAACAACTACTAATACTGATTTTTATTATAATTGAATCTAATGGTTTAAATTCTAACCTTTTACTTTGATACCGAAAAGACATATAATATATATATATAAATATTATGAAGAGAAAAGAAAAATAATTTGTTGATGGAGCTGCATGTATAAACATTTGATAGGATTAAATTACCGCACCCAACAGATGCTGACGCAAGCGTGTGCGCCACAGAGAGACGCGTTCTACTTTTGATAAATGCGGACAGACAACGCCCGGATATAACAATAATATTACAGGTTACGCTTAGATATAACGGTAATTAGCGGGGCGATATATGACGAAGACTTTCTTCATTTCGCCAGCAAAATTAGTATAATAAGCGAGGTGAATTACCGAGGAATCTCCTTATTTTGCCCCGACCCGGGTCGCTCAACACAGCATCGAAATAACGAAATGGCACATGTCAGCATAGTTCGTTGATAACAGGCCTACTGTATCCTAGTTCATTTTATTGAAAGAGTCAACTTATGTTTGACTCCTTCTTCTGAGTCTTCTTCATGCATGTGTGTGTGTGTGGCTGGAGACAGAGTATGTTGGTGTAATATAGCGCGGATCTGAGGCAGACTTTAAAGTGCCATTGCACTGAAATACCATGCCGAAGGTACCCCACACGGCCATCCGCCCGGTCACAATTCACTGACAACGGGTCTATTTGTTGACATATCCTAAACTTTAAGCAGGAAATAACAAGTACCATTTTTAAGGATTTTCATATGACGTAACCCACATGGGCGAACGCTCAACACAAAGGCCAAAGGTGACGTATTGCAAAGCGATGCACTATTAAACAAAAAGGTTTTAAGGAAATAGAAAGACAAATATAATGATCCCAAATGTTGCTATGCGAACAGCAGATCAATTATGGTCTTGATTATTCTTTAGCAGAAGACACAGAAGCAAGTCCCTGGTTCTACAGGGACCCTCATAAGTCGCCTTTTACGACATTGTAGTGGGCAATCAAGCATACTTTACCCAAACCTACGGGCGTTGACATGGCTGGTGTTTGATTTATTGCATTTAAATGACAGAACTTCATCGTAAATAAAAATAAAAAACTCCTTGAAGATGTATTTGATGATTAGAAACAAGAGTTTTAAAGACGCGTACACTATCCCTTTAACGCAAACAATAACGACTGAAACACTAAAATATTGCTGCATTATAAAAATTAAATTAAATCAATATTCAATGTATTTTGGAAATGTATAGCCTACAATACATCTTGAATCAATATAAAATAAAATAATTTAAGCGTATTAAGGTAGGTTATATAGATATTTGATAATGTGGCGGCAGTACCTGTGATTTATATTAGTTATGTGATTGTTTAATGGCTATTGTCGACTGATATGTCAGTTATGGTTGTTTAGTAGGTGCTGTTAACATGCTATAAACCCATGGTTCACTCAAAGTAGGCTAATGAACTGTCACCAGAGACACACTTTTGAGACACGACGAATCAAAAGGTGTACATAAGTATTTTATATAGTTGTATGGGATACTAAGTAAAATTAATATACAGTATCAGCTTTATATCTAGCGTCTTTCTATCAAATAACGTGGGACCACTTATTGTAAAAAAGATCCACTTATAATATTTTTTAAAATGTTGACATTTTTTTAAATTTATGTTGACGTTGAAACATCTTAAAAATTGCATTATGTCATAAATGTAGGGGAGCTAGGGGCCTAGTTCCACATAATTGTAGTTTTATTGTCGGTACAGTATGATTAACCTGCTGTTGGTCAATGTCGAGACAGATAACTAAAACATCATTTATCTTCCCTTTCTGATGTGTTGCTTTACATAATGCATCTCATTTCTACTGGACAGGGCCTTATCCTCATATTGTTAGTTATCAAAAATAATATGTCATGAAATCTATCGCGTTAGTTGATCGTAAATGCGTTCTTATGTGGTTAGTATATCGTCATTCCACCCCTACAGGTCTTTGATCGAGAGAAAAATGCACCTGCTGTTACCCACGGCATGAATCGTAAGAGGCATGGGAACCTCCTGCAGAGTTTTGGAATTGCTTTTTTTGCCCTCTGCTTGGGGACAGGAAAGCCGCGATCAAAATAAATATACTGCACCCATTACAGTATTTGGGATCTTAATATTTCTTTCGGCTTCTGGCTACCTTTTTTCCTAGCGCCTTTCTTTGTAATACCTCACTTTTGGCTTTAATTTTGAGCATACGCCCAGGTGAGGAAGGCAATGAGTTCTGTCCCTAGGCCGGAACATACCAAAGACATAAAAATGGTAGTTGTTATTTCCCTGCTTAACGTTCAACAGTTAGGTAAATGGCAACAACTGGTTCACCCGTTGTCAGTATAATATGACCTGGCGTAATACTGTGCTGGGTGCCTTCGGCTTGGTGTTTCAGTGAGACCTCTATCACAAGGAGGCAAATACACCAACATACCCTGTCTCCGGCACACATACACGCATGCATGAATACACAACGCACATAGAGGCACGTCCTTCAATGGCCATAGCTGTTAGGATGTTAAACAATATAAAACCAAACCAAACCGTTGACAGATGATTGGGTAGAGATTGTCTCCTGAGGCACTCGTCTTTATAAGACCTCGGCTGATGAGAGGGCGTTAAATCACCATCAAATCTGGGGGGTTTTCAAGACAAACCTGCATACCATTCTGGTTATTCTAGGAGAAACATTATAGAAGATCGGTTTTGAACAAACTTTTTCAGTGACTGAGGTTATAGGTCAAAGCAACCATAACAGTGACCTTCTTTTCGTACATGCACAACACAAACATTTGGTCGATCTTGGTGAGAGAGTATTGGAGACATGTGCTGCGGAAAATTCTTTTCATGTTTAGGAAATTCAAATGTCACGGTGCGGTGACCTCTTAGGGCTCTGTACTCCGCGATCCCAAGATTTACCAGCTTACTGTCTAGTTACTCTTAATGAAATATAGTCTGGTCATTCTGTTATTTAACCTTAAGAAAATTGCAACAGAATATTTTACGACTGTGACCTTTTAGTTGATTGTATTTGAGTTTGTATTAAAAAGTCTACCGAAATCAACCTTCGGGAAAATGGTTAATTCCCGCATCAAAAAAGTTAAATACCAACGAGGAGAATATGGCACCTACGGGCCGCCGTACATCAAGAAGAGCTCACAAAGGGAGATAATTTGTAGTGATCATGCTAGTGCATTGGAAAATATTCAGAAACAAAACAACGATAATGGAGCCGTATTATTTCATGGTAAGTTGACAAATGCACATTTATTTAAAAATGTAATTTATAATGATGAAAATAATAGCAGTTGGCTTCCAATATACGTTTAACATGCCCATCAACCATAAATGGTGTAGCGTCGTCTGCTACGTAACTACACCAGCAGAGGGCCTGTGTGTTAAACACGACCGATAACCATATTCCTGTCTTTAATAAATTCCTCCAACATTGTTACAATATTATTAGAAATCTAATTATGTGAAAAATTATATTGGAAAGTGGAAAATCAATATAAAAAAAATTGGACCCTCCTTGATAAAAAATAAACGGTATGGGAGCCCATGAGTGACATGATGTATAATCAATTACGTAATGCGTACGCAATTTGCAATTCATTAAATTCATTTCGTTTTACAGCCAATCTTGACAATATTGATATCGAAACAAGTTACCAATTTCTAAAACACCCGATATTGACATTTCTCGTCTTGAGTGAATTAGTTTTACTGTTTAATGTCACAAAATTACCTCTTTTAACCGGCTTGTTACTTTTTTTTTGTCTGGGAAATTGGTGAAAAACGGAACCAGGAAAATTCAGCAAATGCAGATGTTATTAGTCTTCTTGAAATATATAGGAATTTAAACAATTTTACTCTCTTTTGGCACGATGCTGTAAGACATTTTTCTTCTTTCAGAATTACGGCTATACCAGTAAATATGGAAGAATGTGTTATGTGTCATCATTCTCTCCAGAACGGACGGGATATAGCTGTGACCTTACGACAAAAAGGTAGTATAGGTATCAACGAAGCCAGCTAGGTACGTGGCGACTCCATACTTACTGTCCCAGGTCAGCAAGTACACCAAGATTGTCGCAAGTCATATGTTAATCCAAAGTCTATGCACATAAACCAAAAAAATCTCAGGATAAAGATACGGTTTCCTTATTAGCATCAAAAAGCAGTCTTCGTTCGAGTTTCCTTTTTGATTTTCAACAACACTGTCTTTTCTGTGGTCAATCTGCAAATAGTATAGAAGATAATATAAAGATCAGAAATCAATATATAGGTCGCAGTAACGTACTTGCTTTACACTAGGCCATCCTATATACCCCACCCATCACCCGGTAGGGGACTAATATATATCATACCTAGAGTCGTTAGTGTGGGCTACAATTTAAAGATTTTTTAACTTGCACCTTGCGCAACAGAGTTATTTTATTGTATAAACCTAATTATAACACGAGGAATCAGTGTAAGTATTGGTTAATATGGTCATTATGTAGAACTGTTAGTACGGGCTGTATTCAATAAGAACATGAATCATTACCATAAGTGTGAACTCCATAGCAAACAAGAATCATGCGTCAATGAGCAATGTCACTTGCCGTATATATCATGTCTTCCTTGTGTGTTAATACTTACTACGTACTTGTCACCAAGGACAACCAACATAATATTGACAAGTGTAAATAGCCACTCTCAAATTAAATACCCGTCTGATTTACCTGTACCCCTACACAGATTTGCTATAACATAGACGACACAAAATGGCGTACATTTACATCTTCTTTCTTATATTGTTTGCTGTGTTTGAAGGTAAGATAAACATAATTCTATCTAGATTAAGTTATTTATCTTAAGTTATGACAAATCAAGTAAACTGGAAAACAGATTAATGTAGACGTTATTCACTGTCATGTTATTTCTTTCTGTCGTGTCAAATCAACATAATTTCCCAACTAAAACTTCTTTATTCACGGAATTGTTCAAAGGGATATTTACAACTCAACTTCATTAAATGACTAATTGTATGCCTTAAAGCAGCATGACAGTTTAACTCACAATAATTAATTAATTCTGTTCATTTAAAAAACAATCATGAGATAGACACTGGAAAAAACAGGTTGCGTGTACAATTTCGTTCTCAAAATGCCACGGGTTTGACCTTAAGAGCAGACACCGTGGACCTGATCGTACCATTGGTATCAAAGAAAATGAAATGATCATAATAATTAGAATGAAAGTTTTGTTTTTCTTTGAAAAATAATTAACAGAATAATTTACCTTTCATATCTCGGAACGGAAATTACAACATTTACCGTGAAAATTAAAAACACAAACGCATAAAACAAGTATTGTTCAAGCAATAATTATCAGGTATTTTGTTATTATTGCAAACAAAATATTTTCGAAATCTTTCTTTATATCAATTTTCGTCATTGTGACGCCATACCAAGTTTAAGGTCAATCAATTACGCCGACAAACCGCCTTCAGCACATACGCATACGCCTCTGAACTAAAAGAACGCATTAATGGCCTAATGGTATAAATCCAGTTATTATTGAAAGCATAACTACACGTAAAATGTAATTTTGATATAAAACGTGCAAAGTATCATATCGCCAATTGTGACGTCACATTAAACCGTGAAATGACATGATGACAAAATTGTAGCGTTTTTCTTTACTTTTTCTACTGATTTTTATGACCGAAATTATATCCTAAATGTAGGTAACACTTACATATAAAAAGAAATATCGAAGTTCTTGCTGCTACCTGTAAAATATGATTTTGTTGGACTTCTCTTTACATTTTGAATTGTAAACTCTTATCGGATTATCGCAGGATCCTGTTAATATATTTGAACATAACCAGTTATACGTGTATCGGTATCTCTGGTCATCCGCTTATCTGTTGACATAACGATGACTAGCGTATAAAGGTTTACGTGGACATAATATATTTTATTGAAACCATTATATTATACTGACATCGGCAGATGCATTTATTTAGGAATTGAACAAATCCGTATGCATGTGTAATGGTGATTTGGTGTGTGTATTAACGTAAATCTTAATATCTCTATTTTGATATGATAAGCGTATCACCATTTGACTGATGGTTGTAACAGATTCATAACATACCCGTATGTGCGTTAATTTAAATAGCACGAGTGTTTTTGAAAAGATAGCGGGTAGTTACGTTTGAATGCATTCAAACAATAAATAAGAAATGTCTCTGAGAATGTCATGCGTTTTGAATCATTGTTGCTTAATTTAAAATTCTCTTGTGAATATACAGAAATCAGAGGCCATTTAAATAGACCACGGTCATTTAATAGGTTTAAAAGGCCGAGTGGGTGTATTGAGCATACTTTTCTTTGTATAGACTTGTTTGAACTTTTCTTATGACTTTTTTATATATAGATTTTCGTGACAGTCACACTCTATAGAAATCCATAGAATCAACACTGACATTACCCCAGACATTACCTTCTTACAAGTTCATAGCGCAAATAGTTCTATTGGCACAGATTATTTGATTGTTTACCCAGTTACTAGTATATAAATCAGTATGTAAGTGGTACTTACGATAAGCAAATAACTTTACCGTACAGTACGCCGGCGTGTGTCATATATTTTAATTTTTCTACAATGTTTTTTTTTCAAGCAATTTTGAGTGTGTTATGATTTAATACTGGATTACTAATACCTCTTCGTAGACACCATGTATTAGCCAACGGCTTTTTATGGCCATTCTGGTAAGGCAGAGATCGATACCTTCTGAGAGACGTATACAAATTGCTAAGGAAAATGCAACTTGAGAATATGATATCGAAGTTTTCATTTTTTACACAAACAATGTACGTATTAAACGTGTCGCAAGATTTCTAGACCGACTGGTCCCTTTGTCAAGCTATGACTATTGAACAACTTGATCATATGTTTGCTGCGTCAAGAGATGTTTGCAAATGAAACCACGGGCATAATATGGGGTTTTTACTTAATGTGTAATGTCGATCACGTCAGAGTATGGTATAAATATTTTGCTCTACTCATTGGAATTACTCTACAGTGGTGTAATAACGAAAGTGTTTGCTTAGGATGTTTAGAAGCAATTAGATCTCTTAAAAGCTGTTTATACAACGAGCGGCTAACACACATGTTTATATAATAATAATAAAAGTAAACTTTATTAATTGAGGATAAAAAACCTGTTTACCAAAGCTAATCTTCCACAGGGTCCTCTGTTAGTAAAAGGGTTAGTTAAAAACATGATATAATAGAAAACAAATGATCATTTAAATTATTATCACAGTAAGCATAGGCATAAAAGTAGTTGAGCTTATTAAATTACTATAATTTGACTAAATGTATATACAATTAAAGGGTCATTTACACTATTCATTTAAATTATCACAGGGCCAAAGATACACAATTCTAAGCTGAACCAATATGGTATTCAGTAAAAGACCAAATGTCTAAATTACATATATATGCTAATATACCACAAAATGTAATAAACGTATATAATTAAAACCTATAAATATTAAGTTTTTCAACACACCACTTTAAAAGATTCATAAATACATAATGATATCCCCCACGAGCAAACATCGGATTCGCTGTCATTAACTATGTATGACACATACTAAGTAATATTTACGTCTAGTGGGTTTCTACAATATATAGTCTTTTTCCCGAATATGTATGACTAGGTATGAGGCAAAGCGAAGTCGAATCGAATTGTCGGTATGATTCGTCATTTCGTACATATATAACAACAAAGTGTACATACGCTTATAGTATGTCCGAATCGACTTCGACTTTATACTTTTACATTTTTTTGATACACACGCTTCACTGGTCATTTGTTTGATGAAGGTGACATGGTACATGAACGTATCGTTCTAGTATCCGAAACCTCACACAACAACAATTACTGGTTGTGATACATAACATTTTTACTGTAAATATATACCGTTTGTTTGTAAACGGTTTTGGAAATACACCGTTACCAACCATAAACATCCCAGTAACTTAGTGCACATTCAAAATATAACCGGCATATTCATTTCATTTTTGCCAGTGACAGGGTGAACATATGATAAAAGAATGATGATGAAATCTTACCAAATAACAGCAGAAACGCATAATTGTGTTTGGTAGCCAATGGCAAATGACACAGCCTTGTTAGTCGTCAAGCGTGATGTCGTAAGAATATGGCACCAGAGAATAAGCTTTTATATTCCTGACTGTTTTGATCTGGTAAAATTTTCGTCGTTGTAGGAGGTTTTATGAAATGGAATGCATAGAAGAATTTTATTCGTGTTTTCCATTGAATTTCATTGTATAGTTCACTCATATGGTATATTAAAATATGGGTATATCTGACATAGAAGTGAAATATTCATTGTTTTCAACCGGAAACCATTAATCATCCTCTATATGTATAACGATTACTAGTTTTAATTTTGATAATTGATAAACAATTTATACAAAACATTCTTAATGTTCTAAGCAATTAATAATGCGTTCACCCCTAACTTTAAAAATATGTTTCCCTTATTCGTACTTGTAGTAATTATAATACATCTATTAAATTGATTTCATAAAAAACCCACTTCCTCTTGATGAATTTAAGATTGTACATGTTAGTTAATTTCTATTTTTGGTAAAACATTACTTCCAATGGAGCATACAACAAACAAAAACTCCAATGTCACACAAACACAAAGCCAATGTCACAAACAAGTTTTTAGTAAGTAACATCGATTTTGTTTTATACAATTTCAGTTAATAACATTGTTGTATTTACAATTGTATAACATGATATTTCAAATTATTTTCAGAATCATTCAGTGAACTTTGTATAAGTGGCTACTACAGCAATTATAGATACTACACATATTGCAGCTCGGGATGTTGTGGCAGCTATTACAACGAGTACTGTTGTAGCTCACTAGAGTAAGTATGTCTGCTGCTAAACCAATACTATTGTAGCTCACTAGAGTAAGTATATCTGCTGCTAAAACCAGTACTGTTGTAGCTCACTAGAGTGAGTATATCTGCTGCTTAAACAAGTACTGTTGTAGCTCACTAGAGTAAGTATGTCTGCTGCTAAACCAATACAATTGTAGCTCACTAGAGTACGTATGTCTGCTGCTAAAACCAATACTATTGTAGTTCACTAGAATAAGTATATCTGCTGCTAAAACCAGTACTGTTGTAGCTCACTAGAGTAAGTATGTCTGCTGCTAAAACCAGTACTGTTGTATGTATACATGTATGTATGTATGTATACATACGTACATATGTATGACATATACTATGTATGTATGTATGTATGTATGTATGTATGTATGTATGTGTATGTGTATGTGTGTGTGTGTATGTGTGTGTGTATGTGTGTGTGTGTGTGTGTGTGTGTGTGTGTGTGTGTATTCAAATTATAATTAATAATGACGGAATTTCAGGGAAAGTTGAAATTTTTCAAATCAAAGTGATGATAAAACAAATGTCCATTTGTTTTCATTTGCAATGATATAAAAACATCGCATCATTTATAATCTAGATTGCAGATATATATTTTACAGTGAAATGAACTGAATGTCTCGCAATTATCTTAAAACATATATGTACCTTAAGATGCTACAGTTTTCCTTTTTAAATAGTATATTCGTTGCCATACTAGGTAACGTTTAATTACTTATAATTGCAAGCATTTCAATATGCACTGACATTCACTTAATATCCGTTGTATACACAAACTGCAGTCATGATCTCATAACCTCACCATATCACGTGACAAGTTTCCATCAACGTCACTGTATGTGGGCGGGTCTATGCAAATATCTTAAACAGTGCATATAAGTTGAGTTAAACAAGGTTTATCCAAATATCAGGCTGTTACTTTAATTAACTAGTGACACGTTTATCTTTTTTGAGAAAAAAATAACTTCATATCCGTTGATCAGACTACCGTTTAAAATCATTATGAAGCATTCACAGAAAAATAATCGGAAAATATACGGACTAGTTTTCTATTTTGGTCAGGTTATGAATTATTAATTCCAGCTAAGCACAAGTGGACTTATCATAATAGATGGCCTCGGCATCTATTTAATTCACATGTGCTCAACTGAAGTTATCGCTTCATTGTCTAACCAAATAATAGGGCTTAAATAGGCTATGCCTGCTGCCCAATCCATTTGTCCTTTGACAATAAAATTTATTTGAAATTGGAAAAAAAACAAAAAAAACACCTATTCCTTAGATAGTTTGCAATTGGATTCTTACCGGTCCAATTAGATAGACATTGCAATACAATGAGATGGCAAATGTTGTTATGAGACTATAACAACATTTTCTATTGTAACGTCATCAATCGCTGTTGTGACGTCATCAATTTCATTGTTGTCAACACTTAATCTGCTGTTCGAAGACGTGTTCGAAATGACTAAATAAAGCGTAACTACACCCAATCAAAATGTAAATATATAATGAACATTTTAGCAAATATTGTTATGGTCCTATAACACACATTTCTATTGCTGACAAACTTACATAAAGTAACTGGGCTTTATTTAGTTTGTCATCAATAGCAATGTGTGTTATAGGATCAAAACAACATTTGCTAAAACATTCATTGCTGAAATAATGTAAAAGAAACTATATCACACAATCGAACAGATAAAAGACCACCGTACACTTGAACAGCAAAAGTGGCTACGGTTATTTATTTCTCGCACCTCAGACAGAGATATCCCACGTCATACCCCATGCTAGATTTTTCTATCTCGTCCGATCTGTCTTGCACCTTTACGTGACATTTCGCGGAATTTTTACACTGCGATGTGTTCATCCGCGCGTTAACTGCTTGAAATTGACAATCTGCATTATAAATGTTCTGTTTTGTTGTTATATGTCTAGTTTTGATGTTGTTAGATATCTTATGTAGTAGATAAAATATAATCTACACTATGAAGTACGTTGTCATCTATGTAAGAACGGACAGCATTTTTACGCGGAAGCATTCAAATGTAGCTTAAGTAGTGAAGAGGTCATTATGATTTGAGGCTCCAGACGGGATACTTGAAGTTTTTAGCAAAAATATATATTTGATCGAACTAAAAGGTGCGAGAAAAAAATTCATTTACCTGTAACTGAGCAAGATCGGGTTATATCAGTCTCGGGCTAAGATTCTGTAACATCCCAACCTCGGCTTACGCCTCGGTTGGGATTTTGTTACAGTATCTTAACCCTCGACTGAGATAACACGATCTCGCTCAGTTACAGTTAATAGATTGTATTAATCTTTTTGACAAGACAAACAAAGTTGTTCAGACATTAGAGTTTGGAAAAAAAAAGATAAAAAAAGTTTTACTGTAAATAGTTCGCCACATGCTATGCATTGACGCTGGTCCACGCGTTTCAATATGAAGGAATGCGTAATGTATGAATGACCCATCCGGATACGGGCAAAGACAATCTCGTCTCGGCGGTTTTTCTCAATAGCTGGGAAACCATTTCCCGACAGTAGGTTTACAGAGTTTAATTTTGTTGCAAAATATGTAATGTACGATTTAAAATAGGTAAAATGAAATTTAAAATTAACATGTGGTAATAATTAATCTGCTTTTGCGGTGCAATCTATCTTTCCGTTACCTGGTATTTCCATATGTCAGGGAACTCGGCATGATATAATGTGATATTTTGATGATATAATATGTAATAAGTCATCACAAGCGATAAAAATCCCCTTGCGTTCACACATTGTATGACATATATATATGGAAATGAATAGAAAAGTCAATGATGTATCATTATCTGCTCTCGCGACTGCATTCTTCGATGGATAACAGATTGTTATTGTGCAGTTTTTATGTTGTTTGCATAAGAATATCTTTGTGTGTTTTTGACGTAAAAAGACAAAACTATAATGAGAATACCGACAAAAATGTAAAAGCAAAAATATTTTTGCACGAATCTGTTGAATGTATTATCATGTAAAACACTTGTTTGATAGAGCGATGATATTTTTCTAAAAAAAAGTAAAAGTGACCTTGACCTTTAACACAGTACCCCAAAACGCAAACTTGTTCAAGGTACATTGTTTTGTCATACCAAACAAGTGCATCAAGTTTCATGAAATTCCGTTGACAGTGTTTTGTTTTGAAAATAGTAACAGTTAACTTGACCTTAAACGTTGAAACCCGAAACGAAGACTTGCTCGAGGTATTGTCATACCAAACACTTGTATGAAGTTTCATTACATTCCGTTGAGAAATGCTGAATCCTATATTCCCTCGAACTATCGTTGCGAGAGGACCAAACTGTTAAATGTTTTACTACTGATTGAGATATTCTTTATTTTCTTGTTGCAAAGGCTCTGAATAACAGATAGGGCAACATACTAGATGATTGACTTCGGTACATCATTTGATTAAATGTGTTTAAGGGGGAGATGGATAGCATGGGCTTCCGTAGAAAATAGTGATGCATAATATGAAAGCCGGCATCAAATCCAAGAGCGATATATTTTGCAACCATGTCTGTGGCGATCTTATGATCATATTTCGAACTATCAGTATAAATGATATCAAGTCCTTATATTTCAACCGCAGGTTCAAAAAGGCTGAACAAATGCGTAATTTTCAGTCCTTTTATTTCAACTGCAGGTTCGAAAAGTATGAACAAATGCGTATTATTCAGTCCTTATATTCCAACTGCAGGTTCGAAAAGGATGAACAAAAGGCGAACTATCCAGTGTAATATTTTACTGTTTCCTAGAGCGGAATAACAACCCAGGGCGAAATCATTAAGTAACATGGCTCTATAGTTATGTTTATATTGCGTGATTAAGGTTAAGTATGATGTTAATATATGTATATAGTTAGTATCACTGGACATACCATTAATGTCATAGGAATCGAATTCATGTTTTATTGTTTTCAAAGTTTAAGTGATATTAAATGATCATATTAAATATGATTTTCCTTTTCCTTATAAAATGTTTTAATGTTTTAGGGTTGGAACCATAGCGGGAATCGTAATTGGATGCATTTTCGCACTAGTAATCCTGGTCGTCGTCATTATCTGTGTGTGTGCCCAGTGTAAGAAGAAAAAGACCGGTGTGGTTATCAGCAACAATCAACCTCATACTGCAGTAGCATTTGGTACGTATTTCTCTATCAGAAAAAGTCGTCATAAACTAGAATAGTCGTCGGTACATGATATCTCAATATCAGTAACAACGTTCAATTTCTGAGCAAAATGGAATTTGCACGTGATATCTTCCTGGATTTAATATTGCGTCAACAT